TGCTTCTTATTATATATTTTAACAATTTTAAATTATCAAATTTTTTAATAACGTGTAATATCTTTACTTGTGATTAGGCGATGAGGAAATGAAGTGTGATTATTTTCTTTCATAATCGATGCAAGCTTTTCTTATATTGTGTCTTCTTTTGTTTTTTATATTATTTCAAAGAATAATTTTCAAAAAATGGTAAATTTTCTATTATCATTTCTATTGCAGTTCACTGAGTTTGAATTGATTCAAGTTCTTATTGATATTGTTCTTTTTTTTTATAAGAATAGATAATATTTTAATAAGAGAAAAAAGAATTGCGAAAGGGGGGGGGGGAGGCTTTTTATATATTAAATAAGATAACTTTATACAAATTTTTAAATTATTATACGCCATAATTTTAATTTTAAACATGTGTTCTATATAAATTAATTTTTTATTGTGTCTGTTTTTTTCAATTGTTAATATATTCGAATATTGCCTATTTGATTTTAAATTAGTTATTTTTTAGATAAAGAAAAAATCATTTTTTTTGAAATTTAAAAAAAAATCATTTTTTACATTTAAAAAGGTTAATTTAATTTCCTTGTCCTCATTATATATTTTCTTAGAGGCGGTGAAACACAAGGTGTATTTCTGGTTAGCGAGAAAGGAGGCGTGATCAAAATGGTATTAATATATATTATATATAATGCTAGTGTTAGATTTTAAATAAAAGAAATATTTTAACAGGAAGGGAAAAAAATATGCTTACCTAAAATGGCAAATTTATTAAAAACATTGTGTACCCTCAGAACATACCGTATGATCTCATGGTACTGCTTATTCATGTACAAAATTTACTTATCCATTAATGTGTTAGACGTACATTTGGAATATTCTTAATCGATTCACGTACAGTTCTTTATCTGCTCGCGTAATTCAATCTTTCTTACAGATGGGTATATTTATCTTTTTAAATATTACACAGGGCATAGATATATAATTATAGATGCGGAATTTGCAAGTTCTTCTCTAAATAACATCTTCAGGGGAAAGCCAAATTATTTTTCATTATGCGCCTTTGGGCATATTTTATTTCGTTATTTTGACGCGGCCTGAAAATACTCTCTTTAATGCGCAAAAAGGAATAGTATAAATAGTTGACGGTATATTCACGCCATTCTTTTATTTTCTTCCGGAAGATTACATCTCTTGAAAACTCAATTGATTACTGGAAAAAATTCACATATTTAAGAATTGGAGTTTTCCCATATCCCAGTCAATAAGATGTATAGCGAATTTCATTTTTACAGATATCAAAAAGGGGGACAGAGAACAAAAGAAAAAAATTTTCCGTCATTTTCTAGTAAAATTACACGCTTCTTTAATTAGCAGCATAGTAACTTACAGGGACTGAACGCATATTTTAATCTCTAATTGTGGGCGTCGGAAAATACATTATTTATGCTTCTTCGTCCTAAAATTTCGTAAAAGATAAAAAAAACCAGGCACCACCCAGAGGAAGTATATAAACATGTAGACCAAGTATGTAACAATATGCAGGGAGTTAATATGTAAGCGGGATAAGCCGTTAGTATACCCTCTTAAGCACGCATAAGAAAACAAAACGTAGTTATATCCCTATATTGAGGATAAAAAAAACGATTTATTTATCCATGGGATGTATTGCATTATTGCACATGTTTTTAACCTGCAGAATATATACTTTCCTGGGTGACTGTTGGATTCTGAACAGTATTTTATTGCAGATGTTCCTAACAACTGCGAGCACGTTCAACCCTGTTAGCAATGTAATGTGCCTATGAAAAGGAAGACACGTCTTGTATTGTTGCAATGGGTAGGCTGTGTTAGCCCTGTGTGCAGTTGTGAATATAAATTTCTTTTCTTAAATTTGAGGTTTGTGACACTTAAAACACCTTTGGGATGGCGTGGCACTGTTTTATGAAACAGGCAGGAGGAAACTGCTCAGATGTCGGGTTAACACATTATGTGCATGTTTTGCTTGTTGCAGGTACAGGAGAAAGGAGGTCAGCTTTGTTATGGAGGCAAAGAGGGTAGTATATAAATACCTTGTTTCAGGAGAGTTTGGCTCTCTAAGCGAATTGGCGAATAGAAGGAGCAACTTAATAGAACATGCTAAGAGCAACAACTGCATTGTATTGTTCAAATAAACGAAAATAACAATCCTGTTTTTACGTTTCATTTGGAGCCACCATTTAGGCATACCTCCTGCCTCCCTAAAGGTGCGTACTTGAAAAAAACGCGCCATTTCAGTTTTATATTTCTCAGCGTGTGATATAATGAGATGACGTTCTGAGTAAAAATCTGTTCCTAATCCCTTCGGTCACACTTGGAAAAGAAAAATGCACAAAATGATGCCAACAAAGGTTACGAATTCTTTTATAAAAGGGAGAAACCACTCTCCGGGCAAATCTTAACAATTTAAGAACATAGTACATTTAAAATTAAGCAGCTCTCTAACCCAGTGTGTCCAATGTCTAGGGCTAATTATTATCAGTAGAATCGAACCTATTTCTCGCCGACGTGATATTAAACTTAAGCGTTCATTCATTAGGGGAAGGAAAAAGTAAAATTTCTTAGTCTTCAAAGAATTATCGACACGTTACGGATGCCAATCGTACAATCTACATCCCCTTTTGAATTTTCTACAAAGGGGTGTGTCGAGTGCGCTGATTCTTATCTACCGGGTAAGGAACGTTAAGGTATCGTATGCATATTCTGCTGGACTGAATAATTCACCACTACACGTGTATTTTGTTTTTCATAACGATGGTACTTCTTACATTGGTCCGGTGAAAGTATTGAGAGTTGGGGGAAGGGAACATAAAAAAAGGTTTCCTCTTTTATAATGACTCATAGCGACATTCTCTATACATACGGAATGGTACCCCTTCGACAGGAAGTGGGGAAAGTAGCCCTGCCCCCTCAACTCCATCCCATGCTGCTTCCATTGCAGCGATCCATCCCATTCGTTGCTGCGTTTAAAAAACTGGCGTCTTCCCAGTTTTGTAGAAAGGGAAGAATCTCACTCTTATAAACTCGACGTTTTAAGGAGAGAAGGAACCCTATGTGAGAACTCTTTACCGTACATTTACCCCAGGCCAACAGACTTAACGAGGAAAATCGCAAAAAAAGCACATACTCATCTTCTGTGCACCAAAATAGTGCATCTTCGAATGCGTCTTACAAGGTGCCATTCCTAGATTTACGCTGCTATCCAGTTGTATTTTTAATAATCACCCTATTGGTTCTCCCTAATCAGGGGTAAAGATAGAGTACCCTCTCTATTATTTCTTCGCATCTTGAATTGTTCAACAATATTTCTTCCATTCAGATAACTCCCAGGAGTGCTTTTGTGAAGGTGGAACTGCTATTTTGTTGTCTTTCACTACTTCCACGTCTGCGAATATACATTAACATGACTGCGACATAGAATTGGCACTTGACCCATCAAGAGCGTTGCTCCGTCGCGTCTGTGGTGAGTACGTATTTCTGCCTCACCACCCGCAGTATGATTTTGCTGCGACAGGAAGACAATGCTTCCCCTCCGAGGAACCCCTAGGTTAGGAATGAACAATTCCCATATTTAGGACAAAGTGGACAGTCACATGAAGCTACGCAAAGATGGTTTCCTAATTATCTACTAGTTTAACAAATAAATTAAGCTCTCCTAATACAAATACAGTACACATAGCATTAATTACTCGTATTGATTTGGAATAGGGAAGGAACTTCTTAAGGAGAAACAAGTAGTAAATACAAGACGTCTCATGGATAGTTCACGTAGGAGAAGAAAACGGTTCGTTCTGTTCCCACTGTACCATGTGATTAGTTGAAAATGACAATTTACTCTTCATTTGGCGCTCTATCTAAATGGAATATATGCAGCTATGTCATACATAAGTTCCTCCAATCACTTAAAGATGACGGGACTTAATATTCCTGCATTGTGCTATCATAATCCTCCGAATTCGGAATAGATGAAAGATGTACGGGTCACGTTCAAATTCCAACGAATGCGACATCCTTCCTTTCTCTTCTTTCGTTTTGGAAACCCCGACAGGTATTTTTATCCACTCTCTTACAGATGAGCAATTTTCTCCTGTTTTGTACAAATGGATGAGTTGCTTTTTATTCATCGTGGGATACAGACATTCTTATTTTTATGCGAATTTCACGGTTTCTTCCTGATAATTATATTCTCCTTTTGAGAAAGGTTGCAAAATAGTATGCTGCAGTCTAATCCTGGGAAAACAAAGCTTTCCGAACGATATATCGATGATGACACTGAAACCCTGGACGACCAATTCCTAAGGCTGTATCCTTGGGGATGGTGTTATCCTACAGATGACAGTATGCAACTGACATTAGTACTATTAATAGATTCCTAATGCAGAGTGAGGAACCCTTCTGAAATAATTATTTCCGACAAATACGTGTATTTTTAACTTTGCACATCTGTCCATGTTTCTGAACAGTTGATGTTATATTCTAGATACTCCATACAGAAGAGTGCAGTGACATCTGTATTGTTCAGATAATAATGTTCCTCAGGGGATCCATCATTCCTATATATATAATTATCCTTCAAATAAGTGTCCCCTCTATGTATTAATGTTTCATATACGTAGATAGGTATTATGCAGCTATGGCTTCCTCACGATAGTGATCCATTCAGATAAATCTGGATCAATGAATGGCTTCGTTTAAATTGAACAACCATAAAGTTAAACCGTAAACCTGAACGACATACGTTGAATCTAAGACGTCGAACCTCAACCGCGAACCATTTATCGCGAACCCTAAACCTAACCCCCGATCTAAATTTTATTCCAAATCCCGGATTTTATTACTTCTAATGGGTGCCCCTTCCGCATATTCCCATCCCAGTATCTCGCCCCGTACACATTCTACTCCTCCCTATTCTTCTGTGTCGGTGTCCACTCTTCGTCCTTATTCGCCAAAAATGACGCCATATCCCTATCCTATTCTATCACCCCATCTCGACTCGGCACATAAGGGATGTAAGGTAACACAGTTCCATTACCTGCTTCCTGTTCCCCCTCGGGTGAATCTTTCTCTTTGGGATATCCTCCTGTTGTCGACCCTTCTAGTATTTCATCTGCTCGAGCCTCCTCCTCCTGTTGCTCATCATTCCGCTCTTCTACTTGGCTTCCTGCGTCTGGAGTTTTCATCCCCACCTCCTGTACAACTTGGGGTCCCTGTATTTTTCCTATGTAGTCCTCTGTTATGTGTCCGTCTACTTCTGGGGATTCCTCCTTGACTATTTCGTCTATATCATTTTCCAGATTGTCTTTGTCTTCTTCCCACCATCCTCCATACCATTCTGCTTCGTCGTGGTCGTCCTCTGGAAGCACTGATTCATGGACGTCCTTTATCACTTCTTTGTTTTCCCACGATACTGGTGTCTTCTCTAAAAAATCCTGCTGCCTTATCTGTAATAATTTATATTCTACTCTGTTCCTTCCCTCTATAGCCTGGTCACTCATGTACTTCGTCATATTATGTCCTTCTCTCTTCTTCTCTAATGTTGTAGCCACTAAAGCACTCTCTGCTTCCTTCCTTGCCTCGTCAGCGAATTCCTCATTTTCTTGTGCCTCTGGCAAGGCTTCCTCCATGTATTGCTTTTTCTGCTGTTCTTTGATCGTGTCATTCATGTCCTGTAAGGCCACCTTCTGTGCTTCCTTTATCTGTTCCAGTATCATCTGTCCCTCTATAGCAGCTTTCTCTGCTAATAGATATGCTGCAATGGCACCTGTTTCTTCGGCTTCTTTGTGTAGGAGTATTATCGTATTCTTTATATCTTCCTGCAATTCCTGCTCCTTCTTGTTATTATATATCTCCACTACGGAGTTCCTCTGTGGATTCAGTTCATTTGCTTTTTGATTGGATATGGTTTTCATCTTGCCATCTATATCCTGCGCAGTCTTGGAAGCGCATGCTGGTCCTCTCGCTGTATTAATAATGGCATTATCTTTCATGTACCATTTGTGCTGCCCACGAGGCCCGTAGTGAGTCTTAAATATACGTGTTCGTTTTTTCTTGGTTTCTTCCTTTTCGTCATTCTTTTGCAGCTCATGCACTTTTGATAATTCAGCAATTTGCTTTTCTGTTGGGCGGCGATGTCTGTAGCTCGCTTGGTTTTCCTGACTGCACCATACAGATTTACCATATCTTCACTCAACTGCGCAGCAATCCCAATTATTCTTTCGGCCCGGAGTGCTTCATCTAGGTGGTTATTCGCAAATATCCGGCTTATATGACGCTCTTTCGAATTTCCTGAATTCATGGCCAAATGCATAGTTTTCAGTGCCATTTGTCTTTTCTTCATTGATTCTCTGCTCTTATTCCGTGCCAGGTCCCTGGCGTGTTCCACGGTGCTTTTTATCTTGTCTTTGTTCTCTTCTATTATATCCAATGCGTCTTCTATCTTTCTTATATGCCTTCCATGATGGCTGACTTCGTCAAGACCTTCACGAAATTTATTTTTTTCGTGAATCTATGCACGCCTGACACTGGCCTGAATATTTCTAAATGTATCTGCATTAATGTTACCTGCTGACATGCACGAATGCTAAAATTACATGTTGACAATTTATAATAAATCTTTTCTGAATTAATGCACCACAAATATATCAAATGCCGGTATGATTATTCGTTGCTGCTTATTCTATCAATCTATCAAACTGCTCTTCCATTTAATGAACACACAATTATCTTCTCGTTCGTTTATCTGTTCGAGGGGGGTTCGCGGTGAAATATGGTCATAATTTAAAATATTCCTAATAAATATGGAACAATGTCCATACCGCCATATTTTGGTGTATATATCTGGCATCGGTTCCTAATATTTCTCCTCTTCCTTTTCCTATAATCACGTAAAAAAATATCTTTTTATTTTTCTTGCTGATATTATTACTGGTAATAATGTGCTATTATAGAAATTGTAATATTATAGATGTATTTCTGCAATGGAACTGCCTATTGTAGCGGGAACCGAGCCCACAAAAAATAGAATCTTTCAGTTTGAAACACTCAATTCTTCCATAATACAATGGGAAGTATAAAAATTACCTGTGTTTCCTTCTCTGTAATGACCCTATTCTTTCCTCTAAGTTTACCATGTCTAGAAAGTTCTACAATTCCTTATAAGATCCGTGTACAATTTCAAGTTGCTAGTCTGTTATCATATATACATCGTATTTATTAGACTTCTTATCAATTTTTTAATTTTCTTCCTTCCTCCTGGCCCCGGGTTCGGAATGTTAATTTTTTCAATGAATTTGATTGCCCAAAATTGTCCCCATCCTTTATGTTCCCCCAGTTTAGAAGTCTTACTTATAAATTAGCATTACTTTAGAAAAGAAATTTTAATCATCGACATGAAACTTGGATTTATCCTCTGCGGCTTCATCTGCTAATTTCATATCCATCCCTATGTTATGATCCTTGCCGAGTGTATGGAATTACTGCAGATGATAATTACAGAACGGACTCGTGACAGATCCTGTATCAGTACCCTTTTTAGAACTGCATATACAATTGGTTAAGTATTAAACAAATGGGAAACCTATGTCCGAAGATACCTCTTTAGTTTTAAAAAGTCCATTCATATTTTCCACTAATGGTCTAGAAAGGATGCCCACTCTTGACATGTGTATCGAGTGCATGTGAGAATTTTTCTTAGCGCCTTCAGTAATCTGTTCATGTTCCTTTCTCCGTGGTGTAAGTAACTCAGTTCCTCCTTCTTAGGTAACTTTCGTTCTTGTTGTATTCCCTTTTCTGTAACCTTTCTCTCTTCGTAGCTGTTTTCCCCCAATACAGCCGCCCATTCCTTCTTGCCTTCACTAGCTGCTCTTCGTATTCTTCGTTTCGTCCTTCTCCTGTTGTGTCCTTAGGATTTCTATTTCTTGTGGTGCCTGTTTTCCATCTGATGCTTCTTCCACTCATGGAAAGGAGCGATTTCTTCGTGTTTCGGTTTCTTTTCTAATTTTTCTAATTTATGTTTGACGAATTGTTTCTATTCTATTAATGCCCCGTCCCGATATATCTATGTCTTGTATAATATGTTGTTCTTTTCCTTCCTATATTTTAGGGGCTCCGCTTTTTTTCTTGTCAAAGGTTTCTCCTGTATGTGCATGTGCTTAGTTCATTACACTTCGTTTCAGATATTTGTGACCTTCTATCTCTCCTTATATCAGGCTCCAGTATTCTTCTCCTTTTTAAGGTTCCTTCTATATCATTGGTTCCCAGGTCTTGCGTTCTTTCTGTGCTTTACATTAGCTGCATGGGGGGTTGTTCTATCAGTTGCATTCTTTATATCCGTATGTTTAAATCAATCTCCTATTCTGTAGTTTCCTTTTCCCTTTTAGGTATCCGCTTACTCTTTTCCTTCCTTCCGTTTCTTTTTCCTCGCTCCTCCTTTCCTTTTTCTTCCGTCTTCCCATGTTTCTTTTACCCACTCGCCCTTATTCTCTGTCTTCCGCTTCATTGTGATGATGGGCACTATTATTTTCCCTATCTTTCTTCCCCGATCTCAGTATTGTTTCTGTTCATGTCCATTTTTGTGTGTGCTGATACTCTTAATAATCTTCTTCCTATTTCTCCAGGGTATTCAAGATGTTTTCTAGGTTTCCTATGCATCTGTTTGTTTCTTCCTTCTATGGAAACCTTGTTTTCTTTAATATCATCCTTCTCAATTTATCCATTTAGGAAAAATATAAAAACACAAAGGTTCCAAACTATGCGTACTCCGGGAGGATGGTAACTACAAATCAAATTCATAAAAAGCTGACTAAAAAAAAATTCTTCAGGCAAAATTTATTCAATATTGAACGAGCTACGCTAACTGTGCTATTTGTTCCTCCATTCCTATAAAACAGATCAGAAATTCTAATTCTTCACTGATTCAGGTGATGATAACTTACTGAACTCAATAACTGACTTTGAAGAGGTAAAAAATGAAATAATGCTAATATTTCAAACATGAAAAAACATGGTATTGATCCAGATAACTCCATGCGACGTAAACCTTTTGCTGGAAAAACCTGTTCATAGTGAACCTTTATTTCTCACAATTAATTGAATTCCACCCGCTGGTTGTATTTTTTCTTCTCCTTTCTTTCTTCCTGGTTATTCCTAATGTTGTACACATCACAAGTTACTCCTTCTGTGTATCACATATACTTCGTCCTTATCCGAGTCCCTAATGAGGTAAGGAAAACCAAGAAAAACAAGTATCCACTCCTCAAGTGAAGGAACATCGTTCTCTGATAATTTCGCCTCCATCTTGTCCTTCTTTCTTATTTTATTAGTCTAACGAAGTGTGCTGTTTTTTAATGAAATGTACAAAATGAAAAAAGGTGTGACAGAAGAGTCCTTCCCCATTCCAAGCAGCTTCAAAACAGAAATCTATCCCATGACAACGTTTACGGAGTGTAGAAACAAAGAAGAAAAAGAAGCCAGAATTACTCAGAATCCAGATTATGGGTATAATTGGAGATTGACTATTACGGCTTCACAAAAATAAAAGAAATTTCGTGTTAGGTCACGTGATTAGGACTAAAGATGAATATGCGTTTCGAAAAAGGCAAAACGTCGGAAAGAGTCAAAAGGGGCGAAAGCGGCGACACACCCGAAACTTCCGAAAGCTGTGAATCCTCCGATGTCATGGTAGTAGAAAAAGATTATAATATAAGGAAAAAATATTTAATATGAAATAACTCTTAGTTACTTATGGGGTAATTATAATATTCCCACAGATGTTGGGTAAACAGCTGTTGTGGAAAATGATGCCCCTCCTGCTGACTTCTTGGAAAGTAAAAAGAGCGGAATTCACTTGCCAGAAGTGAATTCTGTGTAGCGGAAAAGGCCCAGTAATGCGACCTGTCTTTCATACGGGAAAATTATCACAGTGTTCATTCCTTGACGGACGCGCTTAATAGATCTCGGAAATATAGTAGCCTAGGAATCCTATCATTTTATTCAGGAATATTCTCTTGCTTCATAAACCTATAAAATTCTCGTTACCCTGAGAATACTAATCCTGATGTCATGGAGTATCAAGTTGAAGCCCTGGACAAAATAACTTCCTCTTGCATCAAGGACGGGTTAAAATTCAAGACGCCTACTTATTATTCTTTGTTGCATATATCTCTTGATTGAACAGCCGCTATTGTAACTCTAAGCTTAAGGAAAAAATAAGAGAAAAAGAAGGAAAACGGAAAGAAGAATTAAAATGGGGAAATTCGCACATGTGTAAATGTGCACATTCGTAACCGTCCAAAGGTGCTTCTATATCGTATTCAAGGGATAAAATCCCCAATTAGAATGAAAAGAGAAATACATAATTCTTTTACATTCAGATGTCTCTATTCGGCAACGCCCACATTAACATTAATCATTTTAATCCCTTATTGAGGGAAACATTTGGAAAAATGGAGGAATACTGGATTCTATAAATTGTTTTCTTTAGCTCATTTCCTTACTTTTCCTTGTCTAATTGAATCATTAGAGGATACATATGTAGGTTGGTATCCCTACCATGGACTCCCTTTTTCCGTTTTTATAAAATAGGTACTAAAAGATCACAAACTCATTTCTTCCCATTTTGAACAGCTTTTGACAAAGCGAAGGACTATAGCATAAAAATATCGATACGATCATTTTCCTTTCTTTTCACGTACATCTTCCGCAAAGGAACTCTAAAGGGAAAAGGGGAACGAATTCGGAAAAGATCCCATAACGTCTCCTATATCCCAATAAAAAGAATCAGTACATATCTGTATATCGGAAGAAGTATGTGAATCCGCAAGGTGTTTCTACGCACACGTGGCCATATTGGTCAATTGAAAAAAAATGTACATATGATGGTTATCCATTAGATTCCTTTATACTCCTCTCCTTTGGGAGTAGTTTAATTTATACTCAGATCAACCCTTTGTTAGAAAGAATTCAGATCTACCTGTTTAGCATATATCACTCATTCTCAAAGTTCTCAAATGGACATGCCGATGGCGTTTATATTTCAAAAGCGCCGAATCTAATGTGTAAACATCTATTCCAACCTATTTAATTCTCTTCTTCCCTATCAAATATATGGCATGGAGCTAAACAGGGCCTTAAGAAATGCTGAAGATGGGGAATAAGATTAAAGTTTCCTTCTTTCTCGTGTCTAATAATATCATTACCATGGGTGAACTTCCCAAATCTCATCGGCCATGTGCTCAGCGCATCTTGGAACAGATGCCCCCTTGTTCATTAAGATATGTACTTCCTTCCATAGGCTTCCTATAAAGCTTGAATCTTTTATAATTCTCTGAAGCTTCTTGATAATTTTAAACGTTTGCGGATTTCTCCCTCTTCCTGAATGTGAATATCAATTAACATGATTCCCTGGTTTATTCTTTATGTCTTTTGGACATGTAAAAATGGGGATTACTTGGATGCCAGTTAAAGGGACTCCCGACTAATTCCTCGCCCTTTTTTCCCGGTGACATCTGAACGAGTAAGATATGAGTAAAAAGGAAGAAAAAAAAAATAAAGGAGACAAATTCAAGCACATGATTATAATATGCATCTACCCCCATGTCCGCTTTCTTCTATTCACTATCCTGTATGCTACCTAGAGTCGGGGGTCGGGCGCTAAAACTTTACAACACGTCTCGATGGCTTGCAGCAGATTCTACTTCCCCCCGCTCCTGGCACAAATACATTATTTCCTTCATCCCCCTGGGCCTTAAATGAACGCATATCTTAGGGTCAATTTCGATGCACACAATTTTGCCCTTTGACTATGATGATATAGAAACAGTGGATTTTATCTATTCGTGCAACTATCCAGGCGAAAAAATCATTCGAATTAAGAAGAAGGGTACTTTTCTCAACGTAAACAAGTACAATATCAGCGCTGTGAGTTTAAAAAATACAGCTGTCACATTTCCTCGTTAAAATGGTAAACACTGAAAGAGGCCGAGATGAGGGATAATTACTTCGCACATTCAGAAGATGACGTGGAAAAGAGAAAAATATTATGCCCTTTAAGCGTATGGCCAAAATGAACATGTGGGAAGCCCCAAAAGAACAGATGAACAGAAATACAATAGTAACCCAGAAATTAATAAAGTGAGAATCCTTCTTCCTTTTATGACCGAAGAATGAAACCATTCCTATACGGCCCCTTCAAGAGTACTACAGCTTACTTTTTCCATTTCGCCGTTCCCGAGCATCCCAGATTGTACACATTCCTATTTTTAAAATTTAAGACCACATTGATTGTGGCTTAATTTGTTTTTCTTCAAAAGGGGGACTTTATCACTTTACAAATTTTATAAAAGAACAGATGTGGCAAAAGAAAGAAAAAAGAAGAAGGAGAAAAAGAGGAAAAATATATTCCACTTTGCAAAAATAACTCCACGTTACTTTGTCATGATTCCTTTTTTCCAGAGAATGCAACATATTCAAAATGTTTCAAAATGGACACAATATGACTAAACAGAATTACACACTTTACATATTTTTTCTTTAAGTGTTCTTCTTTAAATGTTACCAGAAAATTAGAACAGAACCCTATACAACAACTTCTTCACTTTTTTACATTTCACGAAATAGTTTTCTTTTTTTTGGAGGCGGCCTGAAACTGGCACCTGACAGATATTCCAATTCATTGTTATAGAAACATTAGCGCACCGAGCAAAATGAACAATGAAACAAGCTTCCTACGGGAAATGCTTGATGGGAATGATACACAGGTGACAACTTTTGCTCCCAATTCAACACCCTTAGCCACTATTATTGATTCCTTTACATCCAAAGGGGAAAGGAACCAAGTATCAACTACCGCTACCAGCCCAATTGTAGAGAGTGTTGTAAACGGCGTCAATGACGCTATCACCGGTGTGGTAGGAATTGTAACTTCTTCCTTCTCTGGAAATGAATCCTCACCCCTCCAATCTTTATCAGCTGCACACACACAGAGTGTTCCCATTATTCATAATGGAACAAATAGCAGTACTACGCACAATGTTCTACTTGGAGGAAGCTCACAAGAAATATGTTTGACACTAAATATGTTCACTCTGCTTTTTCTCTTTTTGTTACTCCTAATGATAATGCGCATCGCAGCGTTTTTATACGACGTAAGTTAAATGCCACTTGGGTGATGTACTCACACATCGTTGCTCCTTTCCCTTTTCCTTTTCTGCTCTTTCATTGTATACAAATCTAAATTACACTCTCAATAAGTAAAGAACATTACATAAATATTTCACTTTTTATTCCGTGATAGGACACCGTCCTAGGAAATTGCTACGATAAAGTGTGTGACTTCCTGTGTACTAAGCCCGGAAACGAGGAACACGATAATGCAGATGAAAATGAGACAGGTAATGACATTGAAAGAGGAGGCTCCGGGAGAGGAGCCCGAAACAAAAATTCCCATAGGCGTGATTCAGAGAAAAGAATAAGAACAGGAAAGAAAAGCTTAGGAAAGCGAAAAATTCATATATTTCTCAAAATCCTACTTTTACCGAATCAGGTGTATAACAGCTTGACTTTACCTCTTGTGGTAATGGAACTGGGAATATCTTGTTTAATCCCTCATTATATGATACCAATTTCAAGACACTTACGGACGTTGAAGGAAAAAAGGATAAAAATTGAAATGGGAACAACCAGACTCTTACTAAGTGAAAAGATCATAAAGGAAATGTTGTTGTTGAGAAGATGGGCAAAGTGAACATTGCTTTTTACTCTGCTTCACTAGAATCATCCACACCTGGAAATAAACAACACCTTTTATGGCAGGAGTCCGTTTAGACCGAATTTCGAGATAAAAAACGTTTAGGGGCGTGAAAATGGTAAATACAAGGATTTTGCAAATCCTGAAGGCGTGGAACGACAAAAGAAAAAAAAAGAAAAGAAGCAAGTGTAACAACTATATATGAAAGGGTTCATCTACTAAAGGGTAAACCCCGTGCCACATTTATTTCCCCATGGCCAGTAGGAGAACACAAGGCAGCAATGGCTCAACCAGTTGAGAACCAAGGACATATTAACACTCTTACAAGGACCTCAGAGAAGGGGAATCATTTTTTTTCAATTTTTAAAATTTCTTCTATTAATCGACCATTTCGATGAATTCATCACAATTTTTATATGCATGTCACTTTTATTGATATTAAAATTGCGTTAACCAATCCATGGAAATATAAGAAAAAAACCACACCCGAATTGCGCAAGTGTATTTATATCCTAAACCCTATTTTGTCTTCAAAGCTATCAGGTAAAAGTGTCTCCACAAGGTCAACTTACATCGGTATCTTTTAAAACTTCTCCTCTAATTGTAAATGCATTTTATATGAATAACTGTAATATAAAAGTTTGCCCCTTTTGTATGAAGAGACCATCTCTGTGTGTTCTTAGCATATGATGCCACGTATGTTTATGGTCACACCTGTATACACAAGAACATCAAGAATATTGGGAATCATGTCTTTCGCATTACATGAGGGACACCATTACCATTGCATCGCAGCTACATCGCTGACAGATGTTGTAGGAATGCTCCTTTACCCTTGGCCTCCTTAGCAGCCCACTTTTTTTTTCCGTAAGGGACATCACAGACATTTGATTAAGTTGTAGTAGCAAAGATGCTGACTGGAATAGCTACATCATAATGAAAAAAAAAA